ATTTGTATGTCACCAACAAAACTTCAATTTGCCTTCTTATACGGAGGAATCGCGTTAGCCTCCATCGGATTAGGTGGAATGAGAACCAACATAGCAACAATTGGCGCGAACCAATTTCGCGACTCAAAGTATCAGAACATGTTCTTCAATTGGTTCTTCTTCACCATGTACATTGGTACAGTTATTGGAGCAACTGTTATTGTGTACATAGAAGACAATGTGAGCTGGAAATTTGGGTATTTTGTATGTGTAGCTGTCAATTTTGTTGGTTTAGTTGTTTTCTTATGTGGAAGTAAATTTTTCCATTATGCTAAACTTGAAGTTAGTCCTTTTACTAGTTTGGCTCATGTGATTGTGGCAACTATTAGCAAAAGGAAACTTGATGAGAGTAATTGGTATTATGGACCACATGACAATGTTGATCAAACCATGTCAAATGCACCTTCAACAAGTTTTGGGTGAGTTCACTTTATCTTTCGAGTTAATAGTCAAAAACACATTTGAACTGTTACTTTTTCGGTAGTTTCACACTTTAACTACCGGTTATTCCTTTTTCCTATCTGAACTATGACCATCGTTCAGGTAGGAAAAGGAAACAACTGATAGTTGAAATGTGAAACTGACGAGAGAACAATAGTTCATTTGAGTTTTTGAGCTATGCTTTTTTTGTTTGTTATCATTTCAGAGGTGGAAAATAGGCGAATAGAGTCAATGCCACGTCCTTTCAAATTAAACTTTTACATAAATATATATCGATCTCTTTACTTGTGATGCAGGTTTTTGAATCGTGCAGCGTTAAAATGTGAAGGAGATGTTAAACAAGACGACTCAATCGCGAAACCATGGAGACTCTGTACTGTAAGTGAAGTAGAAGACTTTAAAAGTCTAATGAGAACTCTGCCATTGTGTTCATCCAGCATATTTCTTTCGACTCCAATCGCGGTCCTAGTTAGTTTGTCTGTACTTCAAGCCTTAGCCATGGACAGACATTTAGGGCCTCATTTTCAAATTCCAGCTGGTTCAATCCCCGTCATTGTATTGGTCACCACCTCGATTTTTCTAACAATATTCGATAGATTTCTCTTCCCCGCGTGGGAAAAATTGATTGGCCAAGATGTTACGCCTTTCAAGCGAATAGGAGTTGGGCATGTGCTTACTTTTATTGGCTTGGGAGTTGCAGCTTTAGTAGAGTCTAAAAGACTAAGTCAAGTCAGAGATAGAGATGGATTCAGGATTTCTGTCTTGTGGCTCGTGCCACAGTTAGTTCTTATTGGGATAGGTGAGGCATTTCATTTTCCAGGACAAGTATCTTTGTACTATCAAGAATTTCCAACGTCGTTGAAGAGTGTTTCAACTGCCCTAACATGGTTAGTCATCGCGATTTCATTTTATGTGAGCACCGCGCTGATTGATCTTGTTCGGAGGACGACTAGTTGGTTACCTAATGACATAAATCAGGGGAGAATTGACAAGTTTTATTGGGTGTTTGCTATGGTTGGAATGGTGAATTTTGGGTATTATTTACTATGTGTTTGGTTTTACAAGAGAAAAGTTGGGATCAAAGTGGTTGATCATGGTGCATCCAATAAGTGATTTAGCTAGCATGGCTCTGATCGAGTATGCAGTGACGGATTCAGAATTTTAATTGACTTGAAGTTTGAGTTATATATACTTGTTTTTTGTACATGTAAAAATGTTCAATCTCTATGGCAAGTATGTGTATTTGTTCGGTGTGATTCTTGTTATCTTGTTCTTCAGAGAGTTGTTTGAAAATTCGCTCTATAATTATTAAGTTGTTTAATTTAATCTTTTACCACGCATATACCGCCTACGCCTTTTATAATATTACTTGAGTTCTATACATATACAAAATACTTGATGATAAATAGGGTTGAGTTAAATTCAATATTCATTTTCTTTAATTTATCACTTCCGTTTCTCTAAAGAATCACAACCTTCCTTCTTTAATAACACTATAAGAAAACTGTAAATTATTTTTCTGAGAATTAATATGAAATTTTGCAAAAAAATAAGTTTTTTTTTATGAATTTTCATATTAATTCCCATATAATTTACCGTTTCTTTTGTAGTGTAAGTCTTACACATATTATGTGAATTTGAATTAATATATTTAAATTAAGATTATCGTGACAAGAAAAATAATATTAAATAAAAAAAATAAAGATGATATAATTAAATCACCTTTTTAATTAATATTTTTTAAGAGATACGTAAAAAGAAAAAAAAATGACAAGTAAAATAGATTCGAAAAAGCGTATGATTATTTAAAAAGAAAATCATAGTGCGATTGCAAATGTATTTTATGATTTCTCTGGAACGTTGAATGGAAGCATTCAGAGATTTTAATCATTAATGGGCAAAACAATTTGAAAACGCACTGATAAAAGAAAAACATTAATCATTTCTCTGCAAATTCTGAGAATATTTGAAAGCAAAGTCTTGAGTCAATGATGCTTCCACTAAAATAAAAAAATTGAGAAATATTGAAAATATTTTTAAATTTTACGTAAATTATTAACAGTCTTAAAAATATTATTTTATGACGTTGTGGTTCAGAAGACTCAAGATATTTTCTTAAAATTTAAACGATTTGAGGGGTTTTCACGTAAAATTTTTGGAGAATTTTTATAACCTTCTTGTTATTAATGATTTTCTTTCTTGAATATGTATGATCTCGTACTTCTTATCTTCGATTTAAGGGAGTTTTCATGTAAAAGTAACTCCTATATAAATTACTGAGAAGATCATAACGAAGAAGTCGAGATTTAACAAAAGAAGTAAACCGAAAGCGTTGCGAAAAATTGGGATGAAAAACAAAACTTGTTTCCTTCCATTTTCATTTCAACTATGGGAGAATATAACTTGACAATTTTTTCTTTTATCTTTTAGATCTTTGATTTGAAATACTCAAATATTCATATTTGTCAATAAAATTTTTTACAAGAAGATATCTAAGGTAGTGTATTGCAACAAATGATTTTTTTTTTAAAAAAATACATTAAGTAACACCTATTAACATATGTCAATTATGAAACTAAAAGCTATATCTTAATATGAAAACAAAAAGACGACATTTTAATCCTAAGATATTTACTTTTACTATTACAATAAATTAGTTTCGAGAAATTAGTAAATTTTACGTCCAAATCGTTGGATAAGTCAATTGAATCAATATTTGATCCACACGATTGCTCTGAGTACCATCATGTTTGACAAATATCTCATCTATTTTTCTCGTATTATATCAACACTAATTAATTTTTTGTAAATATCTATTCTTTTTAAACTGAATATAACATAAATTCTCAATTTATTCATCGACTTTACCATATAAATGTATATAATAGCTGATTGTTTTCATTATTGATCCATAGATAAATATAATATCTTTTATGTTGATTCCTATTATTGACGCCATCCTTATCATAAAATGAATGAAAATGGAATAAATACCTATAACAAGAACCAAAATTGTTATGGGCGAATGAAATTATTTAAAATCAGATTAGTTAAATCTTGGGCGAATGAAATTATTTAAAATCAGATTAGTTAAAGATTATTTTGCCACATTAGTTGAAGAGTCCACATGCATATATTTGTAAATTGTAATTTGTATTCAACAACTCTTTAGAATAGAGTTACAATTTAAAAACGTGAATTTTTGAATTTTAATATTCGTTGAGCTTTATATTAATACTAAGTGTGTATTGCCTGTGCTGACAAGCCCATGATACGGATTTAATACTAAAATCGTTTGATTTGAAATAAGTTATTTCAGAATAAATTATTTCATCATGTATAACAGATAACTTATTCATTACTATAACAAAAAATGGTGGAATAAATAATTAAGTTAATTACTACCTAATACCTCCCACCAAACATGAAAAATCCTATTTTATTTATCAGACTATTTATATCAATAAAATTGTAAGTCTATAGTTTTTTTTTTAATATACTATTGGGAATAGTAAGCTAATATTAGTTGTGCAAAATTCTGTGTAAAACATGGTCAATAATTACAAGAATTAATCTCATTAATTAGTAAGTGAACCAAAGTTGATATCTGATTATTTTCTCATTGTTGCTTAGAAATATATTTAGAATATGGTTATATTATCTAGAATTTTCTTATACAAAAATTCCGATCATTAGAGTAGGTGTCAGCATTTAATAAACTTGGATTAGTTGGAAAATACCCTACTTGATTTCTTCTAATTATTGCTTAAGGATAAAGTCCTAAAATATGTTTAGGATTATGACTAATTTCCTTTATGTTAATAAAATACTATGCAATTTGATAAAAATACAAGTAGGTGATGTTTTTTTTTTAATTTCTCAAGTGCCCACACTTTAACTCAGACACTATAATTATAAAAATATATAAAATATTATGCAACTTGATTGATATTTGATAGCATTTCGCATTCACTACCCTTTATTTTAGGTGAACTGTATTTATACAAATATATAATATATTTGGTGCTTTAATTTCTCTAATCATTTTATATGTCCTATTATGATTTGTAATTGAAAATTGGACAATATCATTGACTTTCTTTGTCGCAAAAGATAAACAAGTTGACTTTTCATAAAAACAAAATTATAGTATTTTAAAAAATTATTTTTGACAGACTCTTTCGAGAAAAATGATTTCACATAAGAAAAATAACTCTTTACTATCCTTTTATTTATTCACAAATTGCTGATTTTTCTTATCTCAATTTATAATATACATTTTTCTTATTCTTTTAAAATATAATTTTAGACATTACATAGTCTTTTTATATATCTTAAAAATTCGCATCAAATTAAATTGTTAAATAAATTGAAACAGAGTAAGTAGTATAGTTTCTATAATTAAAAAAATAGCACAAGAAAAACTTTAAAATAATGGTTATTTATCAAAGACAGGACTGAAAAATGACCAATCAAACCTATTATATATTAAAATAGAAACATAATCCTAATCATGCTTACTATTTGAACTTCAAAATCCCCATAACAAAGTATAGACACAAATATCATCTCTACTTTCAAGTTGATTTGCATCTAGCCATGGAAAGTACAGTAAGAGATGTTGATGAAGCAACAATAATGAAGTCTTCCGCGCGTCGAAAGAACGGTGGTTGGATAACATTCCCCTTCATTATAGGTACGTTTGTTCGTCCTTTGATTCAGAGTCGAATTCAAAATTCAAGATTTTATAATATGTTATTTTTCGGAAAATAAGTGATTTTTGAAGTTTGGTATTGGGTAACACCATCATGCCTATGACAAAATCCACGAGGGGGCTGGGGTGGTCTGAGTCAGAGTCATGATCAAACTTTCTACTTGTTTTGTGGGGTTTATCAAGAAATGAAACTGTGTCTTTGCTATCAGCTATATATCTTTTGGCATGATCGAGGAGACAATGAACTTAGAATGTCACTTATGAAACTTGTTTTCCCTACTCTCACTACGACATTCATTAACGTTATTCTTGAACGTTTTGATTGATAACGTCAGCAACCATGGCGGGCTTATCGCTTGCTTCTGGAGGGTGGACAAGCAACCTGATTGTTTATTTGATAGATGAATTCAACATGAAGAGTATCAAAGCAGCTAAAGTTTACAATGTGATCAATGGATGCACCACACTTTTCCCCATTGTTGGTGGAATCTTAGCTGACTCTTATCTTGGCTGTTTTTCTGTCATTTGGTTTTCATCTCTTATCTCTGCATTGGTATAGGAACAAACTCTCCCTCATTAGTTTCATACTAAGTTGCTCGAACTCTGGTGCTGGTGTCCAATAACATATGTGAATTTAGAGGTCGGATCCTTCATAATCTGACTTTTTTAAGATTCGGTACAGATACCGCACCCTTGTCATGAAAGTGAAGAGTCTGAGCAACTTAGTAGGAAAATAAGTAAGAACCCCATATTGATTTCTTCAATTGGACTTGCAGGGTATATTGCTTCTATTGTTAACATCAGCAATTGATGTACTAAGACCTCCATCATGTGATGATGGATCTAGTCTCTGCACGAGCCCGTCAACACACCAATACGCGGTATTATACATGGCTCTGGCATTAGCATCACTAGGTATCGCGGGTACACGTTATACAATAGCACCCATGGGAGCTAATCAATTCGATAAACCAAAACATCAAGCAATTTTCTTCGATTGGTACATATTCGCGTTCTACACGTCCTTTGCCATTAGCACCACAGTTATTGTTTATGTAGAGGACAATGTGAGTTGGTCATGGGGTTATGGTATCTCCATGGCATTCAACATCCTTGGCTTGGCAATGTTCCTCATTGGGAAACGTTTTTATCGCGATGTTAAGGAACAAGGTGGTAGCCCTTTCGTCAACTTAGCTCGTGTTATGGTTGTTGCCATTCAGAAATGGAGAGTCCCTCTTTCGGAACAAACTCAACACTACCATCACGATCACCTAACAACTTCTCAAATTCCTACGAAATCCTTCAAGTAAACGTCTTTTCCCCCCCTGTTTCCTCTGCTTTTATATGTATATACTCTGTCAAAATAGGTTACCTGATCGAGTCTTCGTGTACAGGTTCTTGAATTGTGCTGCGTTTGTTACTGAGGGAGATACTAAACCAGACGGATCGATTAGTAATCCATGGAGACTATGCACAGTACAACAAGTAGAAGATTTGAAAAGCTTGATCAAGCTTTTCCCTCTATGGGCTAGTGGTTTTCTTATATCGACTCAACTAGTCATACAAACGAGCTTGTTAATACTTCAAGCTCTCAAAATGGATCGCCATATTGGACCTCATTTCGAGATCCCAGCTGGTTCTATGTCCGTCTTCATTTTGCTATTCACATGTATAGCCATATTCATCATTGATCGATTTTTGTATCCTTTTCTAGCTAAGTACACTAGGTTCACTCTCACCCCTCTTCAACGTATCGGAATAGGCCATGTTATAACTGTTATTAGCATGGCTGTTTCCGCCCTGGTTGAGTCTAGACGATTGAGGTTTGCTAGATCACACAAACTCAAAGGCCAAAACAATGACATTGTTCCAATGTCAGTGTTTTGGCTAGTGCCACAACTAGCTCTAAATGGGATTGGAGAAGGATTTCATTTTCCAGGACATATCGCGTTTTATTATCAAGAATTTCCAACGTCCTTGAAGAGTACATCGACTGCAATGGTTGCATTGTTTATTGGTATCGCGTACTATTTGGGGAACGCTTTGATTGATCTAGTTCAACGACTATCAGGATGGTTACCAGACGATATCAACGAGGGGAGAATGGACAACGTCTTCTGGCTTTGTTGCATCCTGGGATCAGCTAACTTCATATATTACGTCGTGTGTGCTTCCTTGTACAAGTATAAAAATATCGATAACAAATCAAATATCGCGCCTAGTAAATGATACTCATTGTTTATATCTCAAAGAAACATGTATATTCATCATGATATAAGTATTGTGGTTTCTTTAGTTGTATACGAGTGTTGATAAGCTCTTTGAAGAATAGTAAGCTTTTCATCTAACATTCTTTGTCATATAGAATGTAAGGACTTTAAGATTTAAATGACGTCTCGATTCTGTATCAGGAAACTTATTGGTTAAGGATGAAGGAGCACTCCAATCTTAAATGACGTCTCGATTATGTATCAGAAAACTCGAAGCGAGACCTATTGATTAAGCATGAAGGAGTACTCCACGGCCCTGTTGATGATATATATTGTTTAAGAATTGATTTATGCGTAGTGACAATTGACAATGTTTCTTTAGTTTTTTTTTTTTTGCAAAACCAATTGTAATTTGTGGAATAATTTATAATTTATTTTTTTCTCGAAAAATATTGAATTTTGTAGAAAAAGTATAAAAATCTTTTTCAAAATAGTAGAAATATTATAGATCTTGAACTAAACTACTAAATTTGTATATGATTAAGTAAAGTTCGAGCTTACCTCTATCCAATCAAGAAATATATAGATAAAATCTAAAGAATAATCTTATAAGTGTTATATTTACATAATTTCATTTTTTAAAAATAAAAAATTAGGGCAAGGTACAAAGAAAAATAAAATATTTTCTAACATAGAAAATGACATTAATTTTCTACTTTCTCTGTCCCTATTTATTTGTCCATTTTAGAAGTGACACACATATTAAGACATCAATTGTTATCATAGGTTAGTTATAATTTTACCCTTAACTTAAAAGATTATGCAACTTCCCAAGTATAATAAATGTATTTTTTGATTCCAAAAAATATACATTACAACTTAGTAATATTAGAAATATTCTAGAATTAAATAAGAATATATTAGAAAAAAAGTTATTGTTTATTAAAATGAATAAATAAATAGGAACAGATATAAAAGAAAATATTGACGAGTAATAGGGATATAAAAAATAATCTTCAAAATAGCCAACTTGATATTGTTTCATCATTGTCCAATCATTAACTAGGAAGAAATTAGTAAAACTAAGATGACTTTTTGTTTATTTTTGTATAGTTTAATTCTAAGTCCTCCAAATATTATTGAGTACATACACACGTTTATATACTATAGTATTTTTCGTATTCAACTCCTTTTATTTATTCAAACTTTAGGTACGCCTAACGTTTAATGTATGTGGACTTCATTTAATTAAATTCAACTTGTTCTTAAAATAAATAAATAAGAGGAAGTAAGATCTCTCAACTGTTTACGAATTAAATATAAGAGAATGACATTATTTACATTTTTTATGTGTAATTTTTTTTATTTATAAAAAGGTCATAAAATTAAAATATATGAATGACATACAAAAATAAAATCGGATAAAATCAATTCAGAATTTTATATTAAAATTAGTATATCACTATAATAGAAATAACTTTTAACGACATCAAATATTGACGTTAATAAAGAGTGTTAAAGTCTTTACCGGCATTAGTTAAGTGCCATTAGAACCAATGTCGCTAAAAGTTTTAGGGACACTTACAAAGAGTGTTAATTGCCACTAAAAATACATATTTAGCGATAATTAAGAATTAATTGCCGCTAATGATCATTTTTGGTGTAGTGTATTACTTATACGATAAGTACTGCTACAAGTTACAACGTCTCTTGTGATAAGTAAATATATTTTAAAATTGAGAGAAGTATTGAAAATATCTTTAAACTCGATGCGAATTATATCCTTGAATTATTGATAGTCTTAAAAACTTTTTTTTTCTTGACTAACAGAACTTAACATACACCCTCGATTTTGCAGCATGAGCGAAATACAGTCCTAAATTCTCATCAAATTTAGAGGTATTTTCAACACTTCTCTCGATTTTTTGTTAAGAGTCTCATGCTCCTAAAAAAAATTTGAGACAATTTGCTATGTCATGTTGCTAATCGGGGGTGTATCTAAATTTAATTAGTCAAGTATAAAAATATTTTTAAGGTTGTCAATATTCCGAAACGATACTAATAATTTATACTAGATTTAGAGATATTTTCAATATTTTTCTTTTCAATAGTTTAATTGACTCTCGAAAAGAAAAACATATCATCGTACAACGAGTATGTTCAATCATATTCATAGCTTATGAATTTCTGTGCAATTAGTTAGATCCAGAAACAATATGATAAGAGCCATGTTCTCCAAATAATATATTCTAAAAAAAATAAAAAGAATAAATTTAAATAAATAAAAAATAATAAGAAACCATAGCAAGTAAAAACTATATAATATATGTTTCTTTCTTTCAACTTCATTTGCAACTTAGCAATGGAAAATTCAGTAATTCATGTTGATGAAGTAGCAATGCAGTCCTCTTCTACTAGAAAAAATGGTGGTTGGATAACATTCCCATTTATTATCGGTACGTTCACGTTAAGAGTCGAATTCAGAATTTAAATTTGTTATTTTGAAATAAATCATATGTATACATGATTCGAGTAGAAAGCAATGAGTTCATGTTAACTATCGACAATCTTATAACATGTGACCGTAGACTCAGTTATTATTGTATATTTAACATAATATCGATGTAGTGACTCATAAACTTCAAATCTTGAATTTTTGATTGCTAAATTCAGCAACCATGGCGGGGTTATCGCTAGCGGCCGGAGGGTGGACTAGCAATCTGATTGTTTTTCTGATAAATGAGTTCAACATGAAGAGCATTGCTGCTGCTAAAGTTTTCAATGTTGTCAATGGATTGACAACAATTTTTCCCATTGTTGGTGGGATCATTGCTGACTCTTATCTTGGCTGTTTTACTGTCATTTGGATTTCTTCACTTATTTCTGCTCTGGTATAGAAAACCAACTCTCTTGTTAGTAACTATACACGATCAAAAACACATCTGAAGTATTACATTTTTACGAGTTTCATATCTGAACTATCATGTGTTTGGTTGCTTACCTAAACTAATCACAACTATTTATCAAAACACACCTTGAATTTAATGAGTCATATGTCACGTGGACGGACTTTTATGGGCAAATTTAGTTGCCACGTGCCTTTTGATGATATACATGTACTTGGTTTAGTCAACCTTCGAGGTCTTTTTTGATAAATAATTGGTGATAGTTTAGGAAATGAAAACACCTAATAGTTCAGATATGAAATCCGCAAAAAAGTAATACTTCAGATGTATTTTTGTTAGCTTTTGTGTTAAAAAGGATCCAAGCACCATATTTTTCATTTCTACCTGAACTATCACCAACTATTTATCAAAACACATTTCGAGATTAATGAATCAGTTGTCATGTGGACGAAACTTATATAGGCAAATTAAGTTGTCATGTACTATCTTTTGGCAATTGTATTCAAGTATTTAGTCTAGTCAACCTTCGAGGTCTGTTTTGATAAATAGTTAGTAATAGTTTAGGTAGAAAAAACAAACACCTGATAGTTCTGGTAGGAGACTCGGAAAAATAGTGATACTTCATGTGTATTTTTGTTAACTTTTGTGTTACAAACACTAAGTTAAGGATACAAGAACCATATTTTTGATTTCTTGTTTTGTATTTGCAGGGTATATTCTTTCTACTATTGACAGCAGTAATTGATGCATTAAGACCTCTAGCTTGTGGTGATGGATCCAGTCTCTGCACAAGCCCTACAACAAAGCAATATGTATTTTTGTATGTGGCTCTGGCTCTAGCATCTATAGGGGTCGGGGGTACGCGTTTTACAGTTGCACCCATGGGAGCTTACCAATTTGATAAGCTAAAACATCAAACAATGTTCTTTGATTGGTACATCTTCATCTTTTACTTGTGCTGGGCTTTAAGCACCGCGTTCATCGTCTATGTAGAAGACAATATCAGCTGGGCATGGGGTTTTGGTATATCTATGGCTTGTAACATCCTTGGCTTAGCAATTTTCCTTGCTGGTAAACGTTTCTATCGCCATGTTAAGGTACAAGGAGGCAGCCCTTTTGTCAACTTAGCACGCGTAGTAGTAGCTGCTACGCAGAAATGGAGAGCCCCTCTTTCTGAACAAACTCAACACTACTATCATGATCACCTAACAACTTCTCCAATCCCTACAAAATCCTTCAAGTAAACGTCTAAAACGTCTCTTTCCCCCTGTTTTCTCTGTTTATATATATGATTAGCTGATATACAAACAAATCTGGTTGTACAGGTTCTTGAATTGTGCAGCTTTTATCACAGAGGGAGATACTAAACCAGACGGATCGATTAGTAATCCATGGAGATTATGCACAGTGCAGCAAGTAGAAGATTTGAAAAGTTTGATCAAACTCTTCCCTCTATGGGCTAGTGGTTTACTAATATCGACACAACTGGTAATGCAGTTGAGTCTGTTAACGCTGCAGGCTCTTAAAATGGATCGCCATATTGGACCTCATTTCGAGATCCCAGCAGGTTCTATGTTAGTCTTCATATTGTTATTCACTTGTATAGCCATATCTATCATTGACCGAATACTAAACCCCTTCCTATCTAAGTACACAAAGTTTACTCTCACACCTCTTCAACGCGTTGGCATAGGCCATGCACTAACTATAGCATGCATGGCTGTATCCGCGTTGGTTGAGTCTAGACGACTAAGGGTAGCTAAATCACACCATCTCCAAGGACAAAAGGATGCTATCGTCCCAATGTCTGTCTTCTGGCTACTACCACAACTAGCTCTAAATGGAATTGGAGAAGGATTCCATTTTCCAGGACATATCGCGTTTTACTACCAAGAATTTCCAACATCCTTGAAGAATACCTCAACTGCAATGGTTTCGCTGTTTATTGGTATCGCGTTTTATCTAGGGAATGTGTTGATTGATGTTGTTCAAAGAGAAACAGGATGGTTGCCTGATAATATCAATGATGGGAGAATGGACAATGTATTCTGGCTTTGTTGTACCCTGGGATCAGTAAATTTCATTTATTTCCTAGTTGTTGCATTCTTTTACAAGTACAAAAATATGGAAAACAAACCAAATAATGTGCCAAGTAAATGATGTACTACTTGTTAATGTATAATCTTTTAAGAAATAAGAAGCATGTATATCCATCAAAATCTTTATATTTTATTCTATATAATAACAAATTCACTTTAGATAAGTTTATACAACATATAACACAATCAGAAATTATAAATACACACAAACATTCATCTATGAAGACCTATTTAGGCTAGGAAACCTGTAGGAAGCATAAGATAGTGCACCAAGATCCCAGCTGTGGTGAATAAGTTCTCCGTTAACGCCTTCACCAGCAGCACCAAGTGCTACATGTAACGGATAGATGTGCTCGGGCCATGGGTGGGCAACTTTTGCATGCGGCGCCTTCATGTCATAGTTATTGACATCTTGATGCCTACACAGAATTAGCTACTACATCAGCTGAAAATCTCAAAGTTACTTGTATACTAATTACAACGCCTACATGGACGGACGTAGGCTTGAATATTGAGGTTCGGAAAAACCTAGTAGCTTTGACTCAAACCTCGTATATGTGTTAAAAAATCCACTAAATATGTATTAAAAGAGAGAGACGGAAACTGTATTATAGTACATTTCATTTAAAAATTAGCGCAATAATGAATAAAATCACTCCGGTATACGCAGGAGAATAAGAAACTTCTTATTTACTTGAGAATCCTTATGCTTGGAACCATGAACTTGTGCTATTAGTACAGTACTAACGAAATTTTACAAGGCAAGAATCATGGAACATAGAGAAAAGGACAAAGATGAGCAAAGAAAGCAGGAGCATGTCTCCGTAAGCTTCACAATGGATAAATAAAACCTGATTATTTCTGTTGGACATTCCAAAGATGATTTTGAAGTAACATTCACATTCTACGTTAAGTAGGGTTAAGGTCGAGCCTCGTGAGAAGTAGGTTATCGTTTTTGTATTCACATTCTACATCATTCAAGTACATATAGAAAGACACTATCGTTTTAACTGACCTTTGCAGTGCTTCTCTAAACGTAGTACTTTTATCGAACTATGACAGACTTGAATTAAATGACCTTTTAAAAACCTAAGTCTTCGATTCACCAGCTAAGCATAGACACAAAAAGTGGATAATAAGAATGTACCTTCCGCTAAGAAGGGCGTCCTTAAGCCAGTTATCAAACTCTAGAGCCCACGAAGAAACATTCTTGGATGGACCGAGAGCCCTTAAGTTGTGAGTGGCAGATCCAGAACCAATAATGAGGACACCTTCATCCTTGAGGGAAGCCAATGCTTTTCCCAAGTTGTAATGATAAGTACCATCCCTATTGGGTTGAACCGAAAGTTGGCAGACTGGAATGTCCGCTTCTGGATACATGAGCATGAGAGGGACCCATGCACCATGATCCAGACCACGTTTTTTGTCCTCGTGCACTATCGGGAACCCAGAGGCCATGAGAACATCCTTCACCCTTTTTGCCAATTCTGGAGATCCTGGTGCAGGGTACTTGAGCTGAAGATCGAAAATGAGAGAAATTGCACAAGGAATTGGTAAGTTTTTAAATCGCAACCTGATTAGATGGAGTTACCATTTCATGCTTATCACGCAGTTACAAGAAAAGCAGGGAACTTCTTAAAAGGGATGTAAGTCCTAGTTATGTGCTTCGGAAAAAAAAACGTATCCTACTAGCTCGATTACAAAAATAATGCAACAAACTAATCGACTTCACACTCTATCACAGTTTTGTAGCATAATAGACAAAGTACACCCAAAAAAGTTGCTTCATTTTATTTCCCAACGGTTAGGCTAAAGGAAACAAGAATCTCTAAACTCAAACACAAACAGGTCGTAATAAATACTCCCTCCGTTTCATTTCAAAAAAAATTATCTCTTTTCCTTTTTAGTATGTTTCAAAAAGAATGACCTCTTTCTTTTTTTGGTAATAACTTTCCACTTGGCATGTTTAAGGCCACAAGATTAAAGGGCAATTTTATACATTTGACATAACTTTAATTTGGGACCACATGATCAAAAGTTTTCTTTATTTTCTTAAATTCCGTGTCAAGTCAAACTAGGTCATTCTTTCTTTGTGAATCGGAGGGAGTATCAAAGAACGTAGGATCTCGAAACTCTAACTATAGAAACTTACTTCAACATGTCACAAAACCATCCAGCTCCACTAACCAACGAAACTTAATCAAGACACAAGAAATCAAGGCACGAGACATGCAAATCAAAGATGATTTCAGCTACAATCAATCTGTTAGATTATTCCTTTTTAACCCCTACATCTTAGATACAGAGGTGGAGCTACGTGGGGGTCCAAAACCCACTAACTTTTCCCTAGACTCTGTATTTATTAGAAAACTAAATAAACATATATTAACTTATGAATCCCCTAACAATAGTTATTGACAACTTAGCGATAAGTAACGGGCGGTGAAAATGCCTTTCACACTAGTGTTGTAAGTTCAAACCCACTATCAATCTTCCGTCATCAAATTTACAACTCCAAACTCCTAATCCTGACTTCGCTAAAGGTATATAAGATCTATGTACTAAAATATTTAAAACCCCGAACTCCTAATCCTGACTCTGCCTCTACAGTATATAAGGGATTAATAGATCATATCAAGCCAAACAACTATGCAACTATATAAAATATGTACAATTATATATCATCTAAATATTATCAACAAAAAAAACACTAACCTGATACATGGATTTGGGAAATCCATAGAAATCATGAATAGTATCATTTCTTCCTCGAATAGAATTAACAGTTGGTTCTGAAGTCTCCCAATGAGCAGAAATCACTAAAATTGAATTAGGTTTTTGATTCATCAAAAATTTTTGTTTGAAACTTTTCAAAAAATTTCTTGCAGGCAAAGATTCATCAATGGAAAGTGTAGGAGAGCCATGAGAGATGAAAAAAGTTTCTTTCACAGGCGAAATCGCTGGGCAAGACATATTCAAAACCCTAATTTCTTCAATTTCTATATTCAATTTTGAATCCAAATCTTCTTCATATAATGGACTATTTATTGGATATGATGTTTTACAAATTCCCATTTTTTTTCTCTTCTAGTTTATTTTATTTTATTTTATTTTATTTTTAACGCGTTCACCAACCAAATAAATAAAAAATATTATTATTTTCAATCACCTACTTTAATAATAATAGTTGCTATTTCAATATTTTCTATATTTGGAATCTAGAAAAGTAGTATGGTCGATTTCACATTGATTTACTTTTCGCCGGATCAATTTATTTAGCCTATTTTAATTTAATACAAAATTTTAAAAATATTTAAATACAATCAATTTACGGTCATAAATTAGATATACGAAAAAATTTAATGTTAATTTTATGATGTTACGAAAGCTTGAAATGAAAATAAATAAATAAAAAAAATGGTTTAAATGGACTTAAAAAAAAGTTAGGTTGATTACATTGAAAGGAAGGAAATGTTTACTAAATACAATATTTTTGTTTTCATATTTGATTCGATATGCGTTGTCTATTGAAAATAAGTTTTATATATTTATAATGTAGATTGTACGATTACTTATATTCTATCTTTTTCATATTTTACTTATAAAATTATACTAAATATATTGTTATTATTAATTGAACGATAAATTTTATTTTAATATTGATAGAGTAAAAGTTTATGTGAGGATTTAGTTTTTCTTTATTATTAAATTCAAATAGGAGTATTCATTGATGCAAATTTTTAGTGTGGTTCATTTTGTTTTCTTTCAATTTGTTTAGCTTGGATATATAATTGTAAAAAAGAAATATTTTACTTGTTTTTTGAAAATGATTGTGCAAATTATTAAATCAGTGAAAGTATTTTTTTTATATTTTTTGGTTGTTGAAATTTCAATTTATTTTGAGAGTTTTAATGCCTAAAATAAATTAAAGTCACCTAACGCGTAAGATTTTTATTATAATTATTTTATTTCAGAACCTACCAAGTAGTAGTCGACATTTCACTTTATTCTACTATAGAATATTGGAATAAGCAAACGTGGTATATTATATAATATATATATATATATATACGAATATTTTATACTATATTTTAACCTCCAATTCAACAAAAAGATTTACAGAATCCTAAGATATTATTTCTATAATTTAGACGGTAATATTTGTTCTTTATAAAGGGAACAAATATGAATATTGAATTAATGTGAAATTTTACTATTTCTTTTGTTCGAATTTAAATGATACATGAGTTGTGTAAGGTTAAGTATGATAAAAGCATTTCGCGAACTTGGATCCCCATAAAAAGTCCATCATTGTGCTTTGCACACTTTTCTCGAAGCTCATTGGTCAAGAAGTTGCATTCCGCTAATCTAACTTCGGGTTCGCTTATCGAACCAAGAAAGAAATGGGGCTTTTTGGGGCATGGTAACTAAACACTTGGGGCTAGTTAGAAGATATAAAAGGGAACAAATAGTCAAAAAGATTAAACCATTACTTCTTTGCATGTCAGCATATAGAGTAGAAGAATTTACAGATTGAAACTATTCAATTTGGTAAGTGGCTATAGATGAAACCACTCACCTTATTAACCATGTTTGTTGAGAATGGGAAGCAAGCACCATCAAGTAAAAATGGCCTCAGCAAACGGGAACGAAGAAAATCGCGCTGGCGGGTATGAGAAGTATGATGACTAGCTAATGCTGCATTCAGAATTTTCCCCCTCCTCACCATCGGAAAACCCCAGCACGTAAGCGCCTCCTCCTCCGTCATCATCATCGTCATCACTGTCGACATCACCCAAATTCTCTCGTCTCTCAATATAAGCCAGTGCTTGCCTCCTGTGCAGACGTAAAACATGCATTATCATGTCCGGAGTGAGTGTTACCCGTGAATGGTCCTCTCGACCACGCCTATTAGCTTCCATTATCTGCTGACATCAAGACAAAGGGTCAGATATTAGACAACCAGTGGCGAAGCCAAGATTTTTACTAAAGAGGTTGAAAGCACGGAGAAGCAAGCAAAAGAAGACGCCAAAGGAGGTTCAACATCTACTATCTACATAAAAGAAAATTTAACCATGTATAGACAATGTAATTTTCTGAACCCCCTCGGCCTTACTTGGCTCCGTCTCTATAGACAGTATGAACAAACCTTAACTATAGATATTCAAACATGAAAATTTCTAAGAGAACTAATAAGATTTGCACCTCTTGAACATCAGGAGGCAAAGGAGTAACATCCTTAGATGTTGGAGCCCAAAG